ATTTAAAGAGGATTGTGAGCCTTTTGAGTGACACATAATGACGCAGCGCGAAAGTAGTAGCCTCGGAATCCATCAAGGACAATCTTCAAATCCACAAAGTAAATATTAAAGAAAAATGAAATTTTATTAATCAAAAGTTATGCCTCTAGGGCTTACAAGACCCTACTTAAATAGAAAAAAACAAGACTTTTACAAGGACTCAAATTTCTATAAGGACTCTAACTTACCAAAAATAGTAAAAGAATTCCTAAAACATTAAAACTCCTAAAAAGACTCCTTACAAGGACTCTAACTTACCAAAAATAGTAAAAGAATTCCTAAAACATTAAAACTCCTAAAAAGACTCCTTACGACTAGGAAAGTCCACCGGTCAAACTCCTAAAAAGACTCCTTACGACTAGGAAAGTCCACCGGTCAAATCTGAGATCAAATCGGCTTTGTTTTATAATCAAAACAGACTCCTAAAGCATTACTAAAAATAGTAAAAATAGACAAAATGCAGATATCTCTCAAACCGTAAGGAATTTGGCGAAACGGAGGAAGAAAACCGAACCCTTTGGGGAAGGTTTGGTCGGCTCCGTCTCGTCGAGATAGTCGATCTTCATATATAATTCGTCCAATTCCGACGTTTGAAAGTTACGGTCATTTCTTCAAAACAAGTTATTTTCTTCGACTACGCCCGCATTTGGACTTGCAACTGTCCCACTTTGATATAAACGTGTTTGCCGTGTGTTCTACATCACACGAGGAGATGTAATTTTCAAAAAAAAGAGCATAGTTAAGTGCTTGTGAGAATATTCTTTGGGTACTTATAAAATGGATGTATAAGAGGTTATGGGTTTCGATCAGTGAGTGATTCAATTGCAATGCTCTTATGTTCTCTTAACAAAAATAAAGAATGAATAGCTCTTGGTTGTGGACGTAGGTGGTTTTTCCACACTACATAAATATGTGATGTCAACTCGCATCTACCTAGTTATTTCTCTTTTTCACTAAATTGAGTCTTGCGCCGAGTAGATTTCACAATTGCTTCCACAACGGATCTTAGAGTAGGGGAAGCTTGGGGCTAGGTATTTGTTGATGTTAAATATCACACAGCCAAATAAAGTCACGAAGTTTGCAAGGGGCCGCTTTCTTCTTCGACTTTATGCCTGATTCTGAGCTTAGGATGATTGAGCAATCTGTACACAAAGAGTCGTAAGAGGGTAGGGATAGGTTCCCCTGTGATACATCAGACGATCAAGTCAGTTGATGAACTTGAGCTTGGGTGGAGTAACAGAACTATGTGTTCTTATTTTTATGTAGTGCGTGCTTTTTTGAGGGTTTTAGATTATGAACCTCTGACTATAGCGAATAACATCTGCATTTATAGGGGATGCCCAGGACGGTAGTGAGGCGGTGACGAGGAGTGAGTTGGAGAATAAGTCATCATTTGCTCCACACGTATTAGTTTGTGGGTGGCAGGAGATCACTTCAGCAGTATTGGGAGCCAGCAACCGACGAGTCTTCAAGACCGTTGAGGAACAAGACATAATGATAATCATCAAAGATTAAAAACTATTGAGAAGTGACACCTATGCTGACAGGTTTGAGATAGGGGCAATCCTTTAGCTTTGTCGAGAAGCAAAGCCCATAGGGTCATATCTTCTAGTTGTTGTCTCTCGTGTCAACCGACACCGCCTTTCGCATTGACTCAGGAGTGTCGGCCTATTCAACTAGTTGGAATGTTATCTTGTCTTAGTTAATAACCGTCTCTCGAGTCAAAATAAAGATGCCGACTCATCTGGGAGGTCAGGATCTCTCATGTCGACTGTCACCGCTTTTTTCGCCGACACTGGGGTATTGGCTTGTTGGGCTGGTCGAGATGCTGACTCATCAAGTCATATATTCGTAGAACAGCTATGTCCCATAATAGTATTGATAGAGAGGGAGCTTAGTTTCACCAACTAGTATTAGATCTAGAGGTTCAGAGTGAAGTCAAAGGAGCAAAGATGATGGCGAATGTTAACAATTTCATTGTGGAGAAGTTTAATGAAAAAGTGAGTTTTACTCTTTGGTAAAAACGATGAAAATACATTCTTACTCAATAGTGCTTGGCAAAAGCTTTGAAGGGAAAGGATAGGAAGCCAACGAAGATAGATGATGGCTAGTGGGAGGAGCTCTAGAAAAGGTGTGTGAGCACCTTTCAACTCTGTATTGGTAATAGCATCTTCAACGATATTATTGATGAAGATCTTGAACCCAAAATATGGGAGAAGTTGGAAAAACCTTATCTAGCAAAAGTTTGACCAACAACTTCATCTTAAGTGACAAATCTATCGATTAAAGATGACTAAAGGCGTGAATCTCATGGAGTACATCAAAGTGTTCAAGGGTTTCCTAGACCAACTCCTAAAGGTTGATGTTAATCTGAAGGAAGAAGAATAGGCCTTTTTGCTTCTTATTTCACTTCTTGATTCTTATGATAGCTGGGTGAGAACAATGCTGTTTGATAAATCTACTTTACATTTTCACCAGGTGCAACATGCATTAGTATCCCATGAACACAGAAGAAATCTAATGGCGATGAGGGATATGAGTTTGCGTTAGTTGTCTTGGAGGAGAATTAGAGAGGAAGAATCTAAGTGGGGTAGGTCCAGATCCAAGTTCAGCAGCAATGGCATACTTGGAGGTGTAATGGCTATGTTCATGTTAAATTTGATTACCCTCGGTTGAAGGGTAATTGTGCCTCCAGTGGAACCTCGACGTTAATGACCATAGATGGCGATGGAGATATCATCATGGTCTCTAAGATTGTTGATGCTTCTCCTAAAGACTAGATATTAGATTCTGCGGTGGTGGTGCATGTGTGCAATAGGTTAGATCATTTTGATTTGCTTCTGTAGAAGATTGATAGGGTAGTCTTAGGAGATAACTCAGTTTGTGGAGTCTTGGGCTTTCAAATGATAAGAATCAAAATATTTGATGGTGTCATATGTACTTTGGGTGATGTGGCGTATGTCCTGAAGATAGGGAAGAATATGATATTCTTAAGCTTGTTAGACTCCAAAGGCTATGGCTATTCAGGTCGAGGGGCAACCTTAAAAATCACACCAGGAGAGAATGGGTGTTTGGGAGCGATGTGCATAGGTTGGAAAAGCTATTCAGGATGCCTCGGGTTTTGAGACGATTTCATGTTTTCGTGGTTCGGACAATGGTGATGATGGAGGAAATCCTATTGTTGAAGAGGTCGTGTCGAGTCCCTCTTCAAAGTCAATCAATAAAGATAGGCTTGTACAATCTACACATGTTAATTGGCTAGTATGTCAAATCAGGGTAAATCAGTATTAACTTACGGGGTTCGGGTTGTGTGTAGCTGGTAGTTCTTAGTGGCCTATGATATTCTCTTTATGGTTTAGCAAGGAGGTCCATTTATATTTTTGTGGTGTAGCAAGAAGATATTTGTTATGTTCTCTACAGTTGCAAGGTGAATGCGCTAGTTATCTCCTTAGCAATCAACTGGAGGCGGAGATTGTTGGCAGTCCATCCTTCTCGAGAGGCTTGGTAAGCAAGTTTTGAGAAAATTAGTGGCCAAGTCTTCAAAAGCTTCGAGAACAAATTGGCTAAAGTTTGGAGGACGAAACTTGTGGGCTATTTAAAGAGGATCATAAACCTTTTGAGAGACACACAAGGAAAGGTAAAAAAGAGAAAGCACAGATTAGTTGAGCGCTTGTGAGTGTGTTCTTTGGGTACTTTGAGTGTAGGTGTATAAAGGGTTATAGGTTTGGATCGGTGAGTGATTCAATTACAATTGTATTCTCTCAAATAAGTAAAAAAATGGATAGCTTTCGGTTATGGATGTATATGGTGTGCCTAACCACGTTAATCTTATGTGTTGACTTGCATCCATATTATTTTACCCCTACTAAATTGAGTTTTCCGTGCGTTGATTTCACAATTGCTTCTGCAATGGATCTCAGAGTAGGGAGAGCTTGCGGTCTTGTGGATTCAGTCTCGATAGAGAGGAAGCGTATCCCTAACATTTCAGTCACCTTTGTCAAGGCATAATAGTATACCTCTAGAGTTGCAAGTGCACAATAATCAAGTTATAGTATAAAAAATTATCGATCCCATGAGGAATTTGTTTATAGGAGAAAATCAAGATCAATTCTTATATTGTGTGTGTGACAATTAAGAGTGATGGATGTGATTGTGGAGAGATAGCGAGAGTGAGAGTGATTGTATGTAAATAAAAACGAAACGAGATTAAGAGTGGAGAGATAAAGAGTGGATGTGATAAAGTGTAAATGTAAATAAAACTAACAAAAGGAAAGAAAGAAAATAAAGAGATAAATAAGAGAAAAATCAAGAATAAAAAAAAATGAAGAAAGTAAAAGATGAAGGATTCAATTAGAGATATGAGGGCTCTAGAATTGAATCCACTACCTAGTTTCATGCAATTTATAGAGTTCCCACAAGTATTAGTTTCACATCTTTAAAAAACGGCAATTCCCTAGAGGGTTCTAACCTCAAGGCGAATCAAAGAAAGAGAAAATAAACAAAAATAAAAACCAATCCCAAGAGGGTTCTAGCCTCAAGGCGAATAGTGCAAGAAAATAAAGTCTAAATTACAAAATAAATTGTAAAAATCTAAACTACAAAATAAATGCAAGAATTTAAAGTAAGGAAGTAAAGACATGAAAGTAAATCTACTCTACAAGTATGAAAATAAATCTAAAGCAAGAGAGTTCTAGCCTCTTGGCTATTTAAACAAGAAAAGAAAGCAAAAATAAATTTATTAACAAAGAGAAATTTTACATCCCAAGAGGGTTCTAGCCTCAAGGTGATAGCAAACCTTACTCTTGATCTTCATCTCCATATCAGTTTCATCTTCAAATCAAACAAAGAGAAGAAAAAAAATTGAAGAGGTGAAAATATTTCTTTATTAATTACAATAAAAAGTTACAATTTGAAAGGTTTTCTCAATTAAGAGTAACACTCCTCTCCAAAATGAGTTTTTATAAAATATTTCACACGTGAACCCTCTCACTCTCTACCCCTATTTATAGAGTATTGCAGCAAATATCAACCCTTGGATTAAACTTGATCTCGAAGTTAATCAATTTCAGTCTTTAATCCACAACAATAAACTCAGTATTGATACCAGTATCAATACTCAGTCATCTTGTTCTTCGGTCGATCTTCTCTTGTGTGTATGTGCTTGGACTTCTTGGACTTTTTGAGAGATGAAATGTTAAGTTCTTTTGGGTTTTTATTCATTAACCTGCAATTAAGATAAAAACATGTTTATTAATGACATTTTTATTTAAATCAAATAGATAATGAGGGTCTAAAAATGTAATAAAAATGTGATTATTAACCTTTATTTGAAATTCCATTAAAACGGAACTCAACTTCGGAATGTGCATTGTAGATGAATGTATTTCTTTTGGAATTTGATTTATAACATGTCTTAATTATGAATACAAAGATTTTGCAGCTTGAAGATTCAAGTTTTTCCTAACATCAAGTTTCAAAACGTGTTCTCCCTTTTGAAATTTGGCCTTAGTTAAGAATACAAAATTCTATTACAAATTTTATCACCTCATGTACTACACTCTTCCCTACTCTTTGTGATTACCCCCTAACCCCCAACCCCCAACCCTCACCACCGCATACGGCTACCTTTTCAGACACAGAGTTTGCAACGTTATTGGCATTATTGAATATGGTGACGTTTCTATCTTTAGGATTCCACTTTGATCATGAGGATTGTATTTCGATCTTACACCTTTTGATGTTATTGTCTAGGGGTCTTGACCTCTCTATTATATTTTGCATTTGTGAAATAGCTATGAGTTTTTTCATTTTTATAAGGTGGTTAGAAGACCCTAGTAGATAGTAAAACCGCATGCATATTATATTTGTTTTGTAAAATGGTTCTTGTTCAAGATATAACACAAAAACTCTTCCATATGTTCTATGTTCCTATATTAAACAAAATACGCGATGAGAGACATCTTCCACATCCATACTGACAACATAGGAGGATTTATTGAAATGCACCAAGAGGGTGTTTTGGAGGCTTTTTCCTTTTGTTGTCGTTGTTGTTGAGGGAAATATATTTAGTAAATATTAAGGAGCCAATGACCACAAAGCTCGGATGATGATGCGGCAGCTACAGCAATAGAATGAGCGGCTACGTTTAGGGATCTGTGTGCAGGAAATTGACACCATTGAGTTTTGATGAATGCATTTAGATTCTTCGTGAAAAGGACATCTAAGTTGGTTAATGAAGAAACCGCGATGAATTTTGATCAGAACAGGTTTTGGATAGCGTAAGAGTCTGTTTGGGTGCTGCGCGGTCGACCGCGGTGCAAGGCCAGTCGACCGCGATCGTGCACGGATCCAGGGTTTGTGCCTGGACTTGGCGCGGTCGACCGCGAGACCCTGTAGGACTACGGATCCAGGGTTTGTGCCTGGACTTGGCGCGGTCGACCGCGAGACCCTGTAGGACTTTTTGGTCTCTCTCGCTGGATCACGATCGACCGCAAGCTTTGGGCGGTCGACCGTCAATCGGGTCAGGGCCCAGTTTGAGTTTCCTGTTCAGTTTGAGTTTGGTGTTTGCTATAAATACCAACATACGAATTAGAGTTTCTTTAGCTTTGTTTGGAGATTATTTGGGGATATTTGGAGTACAGAAAAAGGAGAGTTTTTCTGAGCAATTGTTTGAGGGTTTATTTGGAGAGATTAAGAGATTTGTTAGTGAGATTAGTTGATTGGTTTGAGCGTTTTGTAATCTCAGTTTGTACTCTTCTTCTCTATTAGTGAAAACCCAATCTCCTTCTTGCCCCGTGGACGTAGGCAATTTGCCGAACCACGTAAAACTATTGTGTTTGGATTTGTGCCGTTGTTTTGATTTGTTTGGCCTTTATCTCGACGTTTGTTTGATTTGGTTCTCAAAGCACGCCCGTTTGGTTGTCACACTTTCGCGCCGCGCACAACAATTGGTATCAGAGCTCCAGATTTCAAATCTAGGGTTTTGTCTTGGTTGGAGGAGTAGATCGATTTGGGAAGCTCGTCTAGGGTTTCAGTTGGTGAGAAATGTGGAATTTTTTTGGTAAAGACTCTATCTTTTTCAGTTTGGATCTATTCTTCGTTTGTTCCGTATTGATTTGTTGGCCCTTGGGCTATTTGGAGGAGTAGATCGCTTTGGAGGCTCTTCGAGGGCTTCGTTTGGAGATAAATGTGGGATTTTTCCTATTTGTGGATCTCGTTGCCGTCGTGCGGGGTGAGATCGTTGGCCGAGATAGAAGGATTTAAGACTGGGTTATTTATTTGTTGATGATACGGTGTATTGGATTATTGAGAAGTGCCCTTGACCTGCATATTGAAGTCCTTTGAGCATGTTGGTATGAGCAAGGAGACCGAGGTGGAGTTTGACACTTCTATTCGATGATTGAGGGGTCTTCTATTTGGTGTTCATTCAGGCATTTAGGGGCCTTCCAAGGAGGCATAATTGGAAGGTAAATTGATATTTGGGTTTCCTATGTTGGGGATTGTACTAGGCATTTGTGGGTTGCAACTAAGTCTCGTTGGTTTTGAAGTCCTAGTAGTCAACAATAGTTAAAGAAGTGTATTGGCAGAAGGTGAAGGTACTTCATTCTGATTTTAGCGGGAGGTACAAGAGGGACCTATTTCTGTGTTTGTGCCGAGCTCACGGCAATTGGAGACACTTCATTGGTGTGGAAACATTGGGGCGATGAGATGAGATGACAGTTGTGATTGGTCGTTCCTTTCTGGAGGGGGATCGGCGTTGGTTGTCGAACATTGGTTCTAGTTTTGGAGGTTTGACATATTTGGGTCATCTTAGTCATAGGTCGCTGACTGCTGTATTTGGAGATTTTGGATCTGGTGGAGCTGCTTCAGATTTTAGTTGGCGTCGAATATTTGGTTACCCAGCATTTGGTCACATCGAGGATGTGAGATTTGATCCGATCGCACGTTTGGGATTCGAAGGCTCATTTGATTATTGGTTGGGAGCTTCTGATTTTGTTCTGAGCAGGAATGTCACTTTTGACTCTCAGCAGGTAGAGAGTGTTTATCAGGCCATTTGGATATCACAACAAGTGGAGGGTGATGCTACTCCACATACTCCAGATCATACTGCATCGTTTGGGATTCCAGCTGAGGTGACACAGATTAGAGATCATTTGAATTTGGATGCAGATAATATTAGTGAAAAGTTGCAGACTTTTCTATTTGTTTGAGGGCCTTTGGAGGCCGTTTGAGTGAACTACGTGAATGCTTGATTCCTTGGGTAAGAGGATACGTAGGCAGTCTTTATGATGCAAACGATTTGGTGAGTAGATATCGGCGTTTGAGCGAGTGTTCGCACTCCCGTTTGGGTCTCGACTTGCTGAGGATTGAGAAGCAGCAAGTGAGGCATTTGTCTTGGTTGGTGTCGGCTCAGTTTTTGGTAGAAACTTCGACGATGTGGAGAATTGAAGAAACCGCGATGAATTTTGATCAGAACAGGTTTTGGATAGCGCAGGAGTCTGTTTGGGTGCTGCGCGGTCGACCGCGACGCAAGGCCGGTCGACCGCAATCGTGCACGGCTCCAGGGTTTGTGCCTGGACTTGACGCGGTCGATCGCCGCGGTCGACCGCGAGACCCTGTAAGACTTTTTGGTCTCTGTCGCTGGATCGCAGTCGACCGCGAGCTTTGGACAGTCGACCGCCAATCGGGTCAGGGCCCAGTTTGAGTTTCCTGTTCAGTTTGGGTTTGGTGTTTGCTATAAATACCAACATACGAATTAGGGTCTTTGGCTTTGTTTGGAGATTGGTTGGGGATATTTGGAGCACAGAAAAAGGAGAGTTTTTCTGAGCAATTGTTTAAGGGTTTATTTGGAGAGATTAAGAGATTTGTTGGTGAGATTAGTTGATTGGTTTGAGCATTTTGTAATCTCAGTTTGTACTCTTCTTCTCTATTAGTGAAAACTCAATCCCCTTCTTGCCCTGTGAACGTAGGCAATTTGCCGAACCATGTAAAACTATTGTGTTTGGATTTTTACCGTTGTTTTGATTTGTTTGGCATTTATCTCGACATTTATTTGATTTGGTTCTCGAAGCACGCCCGTTTATCTACATGTTTGGTAAAATCCTATTAAGCTAGCTTTTAAACCCCACTTGGAAATCTCTAACTCCTGAAAAACTAGTTTATAAGCTCATCTGGATAAGCTAGGTTTAACCAAGCAAATGACTACTTTAAGCATATACTATTTGCTAATTAGATAGGCTCAAATAATTAGATATACTCTAAGCATATACTATTTCTTTATTTGCCTTTTTTTAATGCATAAATTGAAGAACTTCCTAAATCTACCTTGCCTCAAACTAATGCATTTACCAACTCTCCTGGGATACATAACACTATTACAATTGAAAAATAGATATTTTAACTTCTTTACATCAACGGAAACATTAGTTACTTACAATATAAATAGTGATCACCAAAATTAGCTTTAAGCTTTAGTCCCATTTTCCATCTGATATTGAATTTTATGCTCCTTCCACATGCCTCTCTCCAAATACCTCTCATAGAAAGTTACCTCCCCATTCACTTTTGCAGAAAACGCTGCCGTGCTTCTAGTTCCATATCGACCCTATGATTCATCAAAAGAGTTTAATTACTATATCTCTATCATGAATATATATTAACTCTCTTTATTTATCAAAAGAGTTTAATTACTATATCTCTATCATGAATATAAATTAACCCTCTTTATTTACCCTTTTAGTATCGGTTTCAACAAAGATGGAACTCAAGTTGAATTCCCAATCAGGATCACACCCCGTAATGGGCAATTCATCCATATCAGCCTTCGTTTTGTCCATCATCAGCTTCTCGATAACCTCCTCTGCAGTGACTTCTTCATCCCCGTGTTTCTTTAGTAAGTGACTAAAGTTGTCATGGAGGCGCTGTGCCTGCAGATAAAAAATAACTCGGCGATATCCTGTGAAAGCATAGTTATATTCGTGTCTGATTTCATTATGAATCTTTGCCCTCTGAACCTTCCTAACAAAATGGTGGTTGGGTATGGAGCACAACCAAACTAAATCGTTTTAGCTAGTGTTTTATCCATAGGCAAGAAAACTCTGAAGAACAAAGGGATTTCCGCAAAATATGTTGGGCAATTGAACAGATAAGAAATAGGGTAAAGTGTTGAAATATTGCGGAGTACGTTGGAAAAAAAGTTGGGGTTTACACCATTTGGGGAGGTAGGTTGGAAAAAGCTTGATATATTGCGGGGGTCTTGTAGATGGCCCAGAAGTTTTGGGATTTAACTGACATTTCCAAAACTTTGGGTTTATCTCAAATCATGCCAGGCTTTTCGGTGGTTACTCTAAGAAATAGTCTTATTAATTATGAAACTTAGCTCGTAACAGAACAAAGTCATGCTTCAGAGTTACTTGGATGGATTCAAGAAGATCCGGGAAGATGATATAATTTTCAACATAAATCTTACTTCTCTATGAGACATGATATAAGCCAGAAAGCCAAATAGAAATAAAACTCAAAAATTGTAATTTGTTTATGGATATTACTACGACCAATAGCATCTCGTCTAAGCCTTCACCAAAGTCTTCCACTCCAAAGGAAACTAAGAAAATAGAGTGGACAAAACCTAGTAGGCCTGTAGGCAGATAAGGAGAGTTGCACATTGATTGGGAAATTTAAGTTCGCGAAAGTAACCAAGCGATGCATATCACGGAAAACTGTTATAAGATTCTTACTTCAGAACTCGACAGTAATAACTGGGCATATTTCAACTAGAGTTCCTGTACACAAATGCATCATAAAGATATGACTAAAAAGCAGTTCATTGGGTAATAGTATTGGTAGACTTCCCAGCAGTTAACATAAGAGATATCAACACAGGAATTATAGCTACTGGAAATATCAAGGGACTTGAAGCCAGTGGTGATGGAATACAGTCTATTTCCAGATTTTAAGTATTGGACTAAGCACAGATTACTTAGAGAGAAACACAAACAAACTAGATAAAAAAAAGTTTTTCTGCATGAAGGTAATAAATAGAGGAAAAATTCTTGCCTTAGGCCAAGGAGTGTCTAATTGTGCATTCGAGAGCACGTGAAGGCCTGGAGGAACTGTCTGAACTGAAACGGATTCTCCTTTAGGCCTATTGGAGACATAAACCATGGTTTTCGAACAAAGATCGGCAAGTATCAAGTTAAATCCATTGTAATAGTCTGCTTCTTGAACAATTTCCTCTGCAAACTCGTGAGGGCTTTTTGTGCTCTGGGGTTTTTCCGAAGGCCATAAGAAAGATTGTCAGTGGACTTGTAAGGGAATCGTATCAGCACGTTTCATGCAACTAAACGTCATATAGCAGCAGACAGATCAAATATTCGAAAAGAGCAAGTGTATAGAATTACATAGATTAATGAGGCAAACTACATAATACTCCAAACTTACGGCTTTGAATTTACAACGTAGTTTTTAATTTCGGTAAACTTGTTTTTTTTTGTAGGGAACACAAAAGAAAAGCACGCATAATTCGCGACAAATAAACTTTAACTAGATTTGTTTTTCTTTCTAGCTATAAAATGAGTTCAAAATATCATTGAAAAAGTGGAAGACAAACAAGCTAACTTCCTATGCAAAAACTATTTTCCAGTTGATTACAGAAGGCGTCGGGAAGTAGATCCATCTAAGTTCAAACAAACATGTTTATTCTATTAAGGGCAGAAATAAAATTAAACAAAGGATTTGCAGCGATTGATATCTGAGAGATGCCATGAATTGCCAATGTCCCAAGGAACCTATGCAACTTATTAATAATATAAAACTGTGAACAGTGATGAACTGCATATTTACAACGATAGAAGTCTAGGGATGGAAAAGAAAGAAAACATATTTACAATGATGAATGAAATACACAGAGTTACGAAAATTAATAAAGCATGTTATGCAATTAAAGTGTTCTTCAATTGTCCGGTAAATGAGAGTAGAACTATTGCTGTGGCGATTACCGACGATGAGGAATTGAATGACATGAAACAATTAGTGGAGAAGCAAGCGTCAGTTGAGTTGTTCATTGAGAAGTATCCGATTCAAGAATTTGCCCAAGCTTCACGACCACAAGGAGAGTTTTCTCGGATGATGGACTTAGACAATGAGTCGAGTGGTTTTATGACATCTCCAAGTCAAGAGCCGTGGTGTCAACTACAACATTTAAGTGGGCATTCTCTTGGTGGAACGTCAAGTACTATATTTAACGACGCATCGGGCTATGTTACGGGTGATCTACCGGCCGGATCAATTGTAGAAGAAGAAGTAAATGATGACTCAGAAGATATTGAAGAAGAAGACGTGCAAATTGATAGCATGCATGTGGCAGTTGGAATCGATGATGATTCTCGTTGGATGGATCAATTTAATGTTAACAATGATTATGTGGAAGCTGAAGATCCGTTGCCCGACGAGTTTCATAATGAAGATTGGATAAATACTTCGCAAGCTGAATTTGTTGATGTTGGTCCAAACTTTCAACGGCCTGAAGACTTCACTTTTAAAAAAGGGGACCTATTCGAGAGCAAGGAAGCATTGATCTTTGCGGTGCGAGAATGGTCTATAAAAAATCGGGTCAATTTCAAGCCTGTAAAAACTAATACAACCAACTACTATGTAAAATGTTATTTCAACGAGAAGAATGAAGTAGAGCATGCAAATGAGCAAGATGAGAGAAACAGGAAATGTCCTTGGTTGCTAAATGCCGCTGTGAGGAAATCAACAAATGGGCAATTTGTAATATCTAGATATTGCGGGCTTCATACATGTTGCAATCCGTCGGTGGACGTCGATCATTATTCTGCATCTTCCTCTTATATATGTAAGCTAATTATGCCTGAAGTTAGAGCTGAACTTGATCTAAATGCAAGTCAGATATTTCAAAGGGTATATGATATGCGGGGCATTAAGATATCTAAATATAAGGCATATGATGCAAGGAGGAAAGCGTTGTCGAAAATATTTGGAGATTGGGAAAAATCTTATGAATTACTTCCACAGTATCTCGAAGCTATCAAGCGAAATAATCCGGGTACTGAATATGAAATATTGTCTGAAGAGATTGCACCGGGGATGGAGAGGTTCACTCGAGTATTTTGGGCATTTGGTCCGGCTATTAAGGGCTTCACTTTTTGTCGTCCGTTATTGAGCATTGACGGTACACATCTATATGGCAAGTACAAAGGCGTGCTTCTTGTGGCGACCGGTGTAGATGCAAATGGCGGTTTATTTCCTCTAGCATTTGCAGTTGTGGAGGTAGAGGATACTTCTAGTTGGAAGTGGTTCTTTGAACTTATATACAAGTGGATTCCTAGTGTCCGTGCGCCCAGATTAATTACTTTTATCTCAGATAGGATGAAAGGAATTATAAGGGCATTACATGAGGGTTTTGGTGCACCACATCACCATCGATATTGTTTGAGGCATATAAGAGATAATTTTAAGAAAAAACACGGTGAGATTAATTTGCAAAATCTTTTGTGGCAAGCTGGGTGTGCAACCGATACATTAGTGTATGAACATTGTAGAGAGAAGATCAAGTCTTTGTCATTAGATGCACATAATTGGATTGAACATAACTTGAAGCCTCAATTCGAGCATCGATGGGCATTATGTAAGGATGAGGGTGTGCGGTTTTGCATGATGACAACTAATTGCTCCGAGAGCTTTAACGGCGTTCTTAAAGGAGCACGAGCTATGCCAATACAATCATTGGTTGCAAGAACGTTCTATAGGCTAAACTCATACTTCAACAAAAGGCGTGAGGACGGTGTAGACTGGACAACGCGTTACACACCAAAGAATGAGTCTATTTTGCATAGAAGAATTGAGGCGGCAAGATTATGTCAAATTACTGTATTCAATGACAATGAATGGCAGGTACAGGATTATGACGGTATCTACACCGTTAAACTGTTTGATGTTGATTGCACTTGCACATGTAACATACCACAACTTCAAAAAATACCTTGTGCACATGTTCTTGCGGCTTCCTCCAATCAGCCGGGTGGTGCGAGAATTCCATATAATCGGTATTGTTCACCATGGTATTCAACAATTCATTACCGAAAGACATACAGTGAGAGTTTTCATCCACCCGATGATAGTCGGTATTGGCCCGAATATACTGGACCACGACTAATTCCACCTCAATACAAGAGACAAGCAGGTCGACCACGATCTGTACGAATTAGGGGAACCATGGATCAAGGACGAGAAGGAATTGTCAAGCATAAAAAATGTAGTCTTTGCAAACAACCGGGACATACTCGACCTCGTTGTCCAGCTAGACTCAATAGATAGCAATTAATTGGTAATAATTGACATATTCAAATTGTGATTTATTTTAATGTAGACAATATAATTAGTCGTGGATCGGTTATTGATATGTTATAATTGTATGTGCAGGTATATACACCATGGAGCCTGGACCGACGAGTGATGAGGTCCTATATGACCAGCCTCGACACCGTTCACATGTTATATCCTTGACAGAGGTAACTAAGTTTCTTATAATTTCAATATTGCATTCTTATAATATTGTATTCTTATATATTCATTTGCTTTACAGAGAGGCCCGGATATTGTTATGGTTGATCATAGCCTCAGCCATAGCCGTTGGCATCTAGAGGATGAGCGCATAATAGCAGCTGTAGGACGGGCCGGCTTCTTGACATGTTCAAAGCTTCGTTGGATGAGGCTCGATTGGCCCCTACTCACCGCTTTGATAGATAGGTGGAGGCCGGAGACCAACACTTTCCACTTCCGAATGGGAGAGTCTACTATTACGCTACAGGATGTAGCTATGATACTTGGTCTCCGCATAGATGGTCCGTGCGTTACCGGCAGTGATAGACATTTTTGGCCGGACAAGTGTGAGGAGTTGTTAGGTGTAGCTCCAGAGTCAATGCCTGGAGGAAATATTAAATTGAAGTGGCTAAAAAATACCTTCTCGGTGCCGTTGCCTTTTGATGCGCCGCCAATATTGATTGAGCAACATGCACGTGCATACATTATGCACATAATCGGTTCAATATTATTTTCAGATTCGAGTAAAGATAAAGTGCATGCCAGGTATCATTTTTATCAGTATTTACAATTATGTCTGCTGATTTAGCTTATTTTGATAACTTGAAATGTTATGAAAATGCTAGGTGGTTACCACTTATCGGGGACTTGGACACGTGTGGTGCGTTATCGTGGGGTAGTGCGGTTTTGGCGTACCTATATAGAGAGATGTCTAAGGTTGCATTCATGAAAAATAGTGACCTCAAAGGGTGTCTCAGCTTACTGCAAGTATGGGCATGGGAGAGGCTGCATTTGAAGCCGAGACTATGCGTGAATTTACAATTAGACGGACAAATTCCACTAGGATGCAGGTATTATATTTTTTAACGTAGTAAATATAATTGTAGTTATTCATTTGGTACTGAATTTTGAAACTAACACAGATGGAATGTCCAAAAATGTTTTGACGAGACCCCGGCGAGACAGTTAGATTTCTACCGAAATGAGCTTGACCGCATGAAGATTTTTCAGGTATCATTTCTATAAAAACGAGTTTTTTCTTCTATATATCAACTTTCGTTTTAATGATATGCAACAATTATATGTAATACTCTGTAGATGGAATGGGAGCCCTACACCCCATTTCTCGATCATCTACCCCCGATATGCACAGAATACCCAGTTATATGGAGAGCCAGAGTTCCTCTAATATGTTTCGAGATAGTAGAAATGCATGTACCGGACCGCGTGCTTCGACAATTTGGTCTTGCACAACATGTTCCGCAATTTGTTGAAAAAATAGAGAGGAAGGCGAAGAAAGGAGGCCAACAAAAGGACTGGGCAGCTGAGCATCAAAATTATATACACAGATGGAATGATAGACATTTTTGTATTGTTGAGCAAATCGAGCCAACTCCCCAGGAATCAGATTACTACACTTGGTATTGGAGGATAACTAGAAGATGGATACTCCATGCGACCACATCCCCGGTTGAGTTGCAAAGAGGATATGTGCCTCGGGGTATAGATGAGAGAGAATTAGTAAGTATTTTTAAATTTATTTTAAGTTTATTTTTATTAGAATTTTTCAATATTGCTAAATTATGTTTTTTTAAAAATTTGCAGGTATCAGCAATAGTTGATGTTCAAACCATTGCAAATAGTGGCTTGGAATTGGCTCATGCAGGTAATATAGAATTAAATATAAAATTTACATATTGTAATTTGAATTTTAAAGTAATTTTTGCATTTCGGATTTTTTTGAATTATCTCTCGCAGGTACATATCCCGAAGCACAGAAACATGCATCAATATATCAGTCGATAATGCAGAGGCTTCACCAAGCCTTACATCGAACTCATGAAGACCTTCATGATGGACGAGAAGTACCTCAATTAGTATACACACGTCAACAACGACACAGACGAGGACGACGCAGAATTGACGATGGAGCAGGACCGTCCCAACGTGTTGACGATGGAGCAGGACCGTCACAACCACAAACGCAACCGGATCATGAACTCATCGAAGGTCGGGATAGAGGAGGCCGAAGACAAAGGAGGAGGAGAAGAGTTCTTGGATGTATGTAAGCTAATTGGTATTGTTATATAAATTACAATCCTATTTTGATATGTACATTACAAACGTATTTCGGGACAATAGATGGTTTTTGGATTTGTAGCTGAGATTGTGGTGTGACTTATTAGATTTGTAAGTGGGTTTGTGGCGTGATTTGTTGGATTTGGATTCGTAAGTTTGTGGCGTGATTTGTTGGATTTGGATTCGTACGTTTGTGGTGTATTTTATGATTTTTAGATTTGATATGTGTTTATACAGGGAATTGACATGAGTTTGTACAGGGAATTGATATATGTGTTTATGCAATGGTGTAATTTATGATTGTTGCGTTTGAAATATGCGTTTGTACAGGGAATTATCCCGTAGCAGAAATACATGCATAGTGAATGTGCAGGAAATGCACGGGACTGCTAGTCCCGTGCATTTCATTGCGCCCAGGAATTGCACGGGACTAGCAGTCCCGTGCTATTGTTTTTTGCAGAGACAGCAGGCTCTGTAAAATGCACGGGACTGTTAGTCCCGTGCATTTCTTTTTTGCAGACCTTCGTTAGTCTCTGTAATAAACACGGGACTGCTAGTCCCGTGTTATTCGAAATTGCCACGAAATACACAGGACTAGCAGTCCCGTGTATGTCGTAAAAAAACTTCAGCAGCAAAACCGACCCTTTTCTTCTGAAAAGGGTCGGTTTTGCTATTTAAATTTCGATGAGGTCGTTTTCTTCTGAAAAGGGTCGGTTTTGCTATTTAAATTTCGATGAGGTCGGTTTTGCTATTTAAAATTCGAAATCGGTTCATTTTGAAAATTTGTCCTATTTAAATTTCGATGAGGTCGGTTTTGCTATTTAAAATTCGAAATCGGTTCATTTTGAAAATTTGTCCATATTACAAAGACCAAAAATCATAAAGGAGAAGGTAATTGGTATCTGCTAACTTCCTACAGCAAGAAAATGGGATTAACTGGCGACAAAGCAAATTCTTCTAAAAGACATTTACAACATGGGGTATTTAATTGGGTAAATAATCAAGACGATGCAGTTATTGGGTGGTCTTTCAAAACCATAACCAACTCAGTCAAGAGAAAATCTTGACTAATTCATCATCAAAACAAAATTAATTAAAAACATTGGCGAGTACCTCCAAGAACCTCAGCGGCAAAACACCCCTAGTCCTCGCATCAGGGATCGATTCAGGCTCCCTCGCGTTAGTAAGAAAAGCAACCCTCCCATCCTTCGTACATCCCAGCCACGTGCCTCCCCCTTTTACATCTCTACCCCCCAATATTTTCTTATTTCCCTCGCCCCACCATCCCACTGCCTCTGTAGCCCTGCAAATTTTACGAATTGAGGCATCAAAAAAAAAAAATCCATCAATCGCAGGAATTGGTTGGAAAATAGGATTTGGGCTTGCCTGTCATGGTACTCATCTCGGTTGAGGAAGAGGAGGAGTTGGTGGGCAGGGTGGGATTGCCAAATCCAAGCAGCTATGCACATGATCCCTCTTAAAAATCTATACGAAAAGAGAAAGAAAATGAAAGAGATGAGATTGAGAAGAAAGGGAATTGGTTGAATTATTAGACAAAACACGGGACTGCCGCGTGGGAGTCATAATAATAGAATTAAAAATAATAATGAAAACTTGTGATCGCGATGGATCAGTGATTTGGGAACTGCGATGTGATTTTTACCCAGTTTTTGTGAGGGAAATGGAATCTACCGTCGCCTCACCAAAACCAAGTACGAAAGTAAATTGATTAGCGCTAGTTATTAAAAGGTAAATAAGCAAGGTCTCAGAGGGCATGTTCGCCAAATGTCAAAGGTAGCAGATTAAGGAGTGGGTAAATTTCATCGAACCCCAAAAGTTTTAAGGCGTTAAGTTGAACCACTCTGAACTTTAACTCGCAAAGGACCCCACAAAACACGTCTTTTTGTAAGTTTCCGCGTCACGATATAATCCGTCACGTGACCTTTCACACTGTCCCTACAAAAGCAGGCCCCACCTGTTTATGATAGGCGCAGCATTGGGCGCAACGAACTTCGCGTGAAAATTCTTTACGGGCCGAATCACGCAATCGTCGCGTGACTATGAGGCCGAACATCACGTGCAGTGCCGTTCCGAAGAGCAGCCGAAAACGGGAGTAGATGGAAAAAAAAAGAGAAAAGAAAAAAGAACAATAAAACAAAAGCAATAAAAATATTCCAAAAAAAAAGCTAGCCCCAGTTTCTAGAGAGAGAGAGAGAGGAGAGAGAAACGAGGAGGGCGAGGGGTCCGAAAATGGGCAACAACAAGCCAGCAGAGCCCAAGAGGAAGAAGAAAGGCCGCCCCTCTCTCCTTGATCTCCAAAAACGCAGCCTCCGCCTCCAAAAACAACAGCAATCCCGAGTAAACCCTAACCCTAATCCTAACCCCAATCACTCCCTCCGATCCCCCGTGGCCGCTAAGTCCCTCCGCCGCTCCACCCGCCGGAACCCTAACCCTAACTCCGACGACGACGATGGTGACAGTTCCAATGACACGAGGAGAGAGAAGAAGATCAAGCTCGTCCACCGAATTCAGGACGACGCCGATCAAGAAAAGGTGCTTGTTAGTTTCGTTAGTTAATTGGACAATTTATTTGATTGAGGTTTTAGCGCGAGATCTGTGGGGTTTAGGAGTTAGATCAGCGTGACAATTATTTAAATCTGGCGGTTTTTTGTACGGATCGGGAATCTTGCGCGCGTTTATTGCGGTTGGATAAATTCCCTTGGATTCCGTTCTTTATTTGGAATATTTGTTTATTTATTTTGAAATTTTCTTAACTCGTGCGGTTGTGAAAGTTTTCGATTTGACTTTGGTCAAAGTTTCCAATCATTTCTCGATTGATATCCCAAAGTCCTATCTTTAAAAAGGATTTTTTTTAACCGTAAAGAAAAACTAACTGCTGTTTTTCTGAATAAAGTTCGTGGTTTTGTCTTGTTCACTCCTTTTATTGTTATAGATCTTATCTTTTTGGGGGGCTAATTTGGAAAAATGGCGTCTTTTTTCATCAGGGAGAAGGGAACAATCCCTCGAAAGGGACCGATGACAATGCTCTTCGAGGTTCGATGCATTAAATTCATCATCCGAGGGGAAAACATCTAATTTCTCAGATTTTTTTTTGTGTGGTACTTGAAATAAATTAATTGCTGTTGCCTGTTGGCAGCAGGGGAGATCCCGTCAGATTTGGGACCCACAACACCTTTGCCTGACAAAAAGTTGTTGGAGTTCATCCTTGATAGGCTCCAGAAGTGCGTCCTTCTCTTATTTCTTTTTGTCCCTTTATGCTTCTTATTTTTGTAGCTGCTTGCCTTTCTTTTGACCTTTAATGAGATAATGTTTTTATTTGGATTCAGGAAAGATACTTATGGTGTTTTCTCTGAACCCGTGGACCCTGAAGAGGTGGGCTTTGGAAGAACTTAAGAGTTTGATTTATGTTATCAATATCTTTCAGTGGTTTTTACTGAAATTGTGAGCGACTTTTTGTTTTTATTTTATCTGTCTTGTTTATAGCTTCCTGACTACCATGAAATAATTGAGCACCCAATTGATTTTGCGACGATAAAGAAGAAGCTTTCAAGTGGAGCATATTCAAACTTGGAACAATTCGAGGTAATTGAGGGGCTCATATTTACTATGTTCATGCTTTTGTTATTTCTTTAGTTTCTTGAGACTTGAGGTTATCTACATTCTGTTTCTTCTTGCTTGTTGATCAGTTAAAATTTTGGAATGCATTTGATTAGCCTTGTCATGCCCTGTATTGATGCTACTGTGTTGTGAATCTGATAAGGTGTCTTTATCTGTGACTATCTTGATTAAACAAGTTTTTTTTCGGTTCTCGAAGCATTTAATATTCATATCCTTAGGCAGACATGTCCCTTTATAGTGCTCCAGTATTTGAATATTCTCAATATATATTTGTAGACTATTGTACTTAGTTAAATATGGCCCTTCAGCATTTAATTTGATGTCTTCTTGCATGACATTCAGTACCATGTTCCATGCATGTGATACTTAAATTCTGTGCAAGTTATTTTAGGTCGATTACAAGAGTGCTTTATTGTTTCCCTTCTTTATAACTGGAGAAGGTAGATGGTTCTGGCATAAATTTGATCCTTACTATAGCTTACTAAACAATTTGTTTCAAATTAGCTGTTTGGTTTAAGAGTAAGTGTGCAATCATGATGATTGTTGATGAACATAATCACAAACTTCTATCTAATTCTGAATAATCTCTTTTATGAGGCACATATAGACTTACACGTGTTATTTGAATAAGAACTCTGAATTAACTTAGTCTAATTTCATGTTTCTTAATGTTGAATTTCTTTTTCAAGAGAACTTCCATAGAGAGGGTATTTCACTATGATATTCATGACACTATGGTATCTGACATCTATCCACAACTGACATGGCATGTGTGTCCCATGTTCACCACTCATTTGCATGTTTATCAACAATCCATTATATTTTGCAAATGAATATGAATAAATCAAGTGTAATAATTGCTCTTGTGATTTAAAACATTGTGGTAACTAGTTGCTTCTCCTTATTTATGCTTAAGGTGCTTTGAACATATACTTTTTATGTTAAAAGAAAAGGGTGTTCACAAATAAACATGTAGTTAATGGTGTTCTTATGTCCCCTCAGATTCATATTCATGCCTAACATGGTGTACTTATTAGATGTTTCTAGACATCCTGTCAAAGGAGTGTATGACAAATTAATACGAAACAGGGGTGTTCTGGAAATTGATCTACTCTTGAATTAATATTTAGCATCATTGTGTTAGCATTTGGAGCTATGCTTCCTTGCTTATTTTATTCTCCTTATATGAGCATATGCATACTTTATTCTTGCTGGTATAGGAATACAGAGTAACTTAATTAGCTTAGCCTTGGCTGCAGTTGCATGCCTATATCATACATAATCCCTTTGTAATTTTGAAAAATGCGGTCAGCAGATATATTATTAGATTATTACTTTATGGATTCATTAAAGGAAAATTATCAACTACTTGGGTACTTTCTAATTTGATTAGTTAATGCCATGAACTGGTTATACATGCCACCAATGATTGGGACAGTGAAAAAAAACAAGAACATATTAGAACAGGCACAAGCCTTCTGAGCAAAAATGTTGTAGTGTGAGAGGATGAACTTACAGCGTTTGAGCATGAAATAAGAGTAGCATGTATGATCTCATTTTGTCAGCATGACCCGAGCACTTAATTGGAGCTTTTTTCTGTTATCGAATTATGCGAACTAGGAACATGAGTGACAAGATATCTACACTTGTATCCAATTTTAGACACCCTCTTGAATATTCTTTATGTCCTCTGAGTAGAATACCTGAGTATGGGGTTACACTAACCAGTGTTTGTGGTCTCTCTTTGTATGCTAATATAAATGTAGTCTTGTGGATGTTAGCATTTGATGACAGTCTATTTGCGGTGAAAATTTCTAATCTTTTGCATACCAATATTGATGGCAGTATCTTGTCGGAAAGACTTTCCATCTATACAAACTTACAACGCTCTAGGTTGAGCCTTTTTCCTCATTGAACTATAGAAATATGCAAAAGTGATTTCCTTGAGTTAGTTTTAGAGGATTTATGTATTGATAAAATAAATTTGAAAATGCTCCAAATACAATTTAATGATAATATTGGATATGTGAACTTAACTGAATTTCTAACTCTGATGTTGAGAGTTCCTTTTCAGGGTTTAAAGCTTCCACCTTAAGTTTACTAGTAAACAGTATAAGATGTCATGAGGCTGGGGGTAGTGAAATGGCTAGATTTGATTTTGGAGTTTGTTACTGCTTTAGAAGACTAAAGTAAATATTGTTTAGTAAAAGGCTTCTTTCACTTGGTCAACATATTGGTCTATTGGTTCTTGTACAACAAACCTGGTAAGAAATTTCTATTTATTAAGAAGCACGGATGTTCCATGAGAGTACTTTATAGTTAAAACTCAATCCTGTCCAAGTTTTGAGGCGTGCACTTGAGAAACAAAAATAAGTCTGTAGCGCGGCCAAGTTGATCTTTAATCATTATCCAATTTATATGCATCTGGTGTGTTTATGAGTTATGACTCTTTTCTCTAGGCTACCAAGTGATGTATCATGTCTCTTTTAGTCTCTTCAACTATGTAACCAAATTGGAAAACACTGCTGGATATTTTATAATATATGAGTACATCTTAGACCTTCTGTTTTGGAGTGCAAATGTTCAACAGCAGATGCCAGCATCCACACTATGTACTGTAGAATATAGTGTGTGTGTGTATGTGTTTTTTTTTCCTTTTGGTTGAAAAGTGTGAATATAGCTGTTTAGTTGTCAATAGAAGACATTTTCCAGATTTTCCAGATTTCATATGTCTTGTTCGTCTTCATCTAGTACTATTCTTGATTTCTTATATAACATTTGTTCTCTTCTATTTTTCATCTTTGTTTGTTCTTTATTCAGCTTTATAACTAATGCTCTTACAAAATTATTGACAATGACATAACAGAAGGAAATATGCAATTGTAGAAAATAATACATTCCCTCTTGATTGGTGTACTGGTGGGAACAAATACCATCTAGTACAGATGTATTTTTGTTTTTCATAATTACTATGGTGTTATATTTGATTTTCTGTCTTATGCATGTTTATGCAGGAGGATGTTTTCTTAATCAGCTCAAATGCTATGCAGTATAATGCAGCTGACACCATATATTATCGACAGGTATCTTTCTTATTTCCTTAACGGCTCCTTTCCCAGCTTCAAACCAATTCATTATTACACTGTTTTGTATCTTAGAACTTAGAGGTGTTTATATCTATAGGCACGGGCCATCCAAGAACTTGCGAAAAAGAATTTTGAGAACTTAAGGCAAGAAAGTGATGATGATCAACCAGAGCCAAAGATTGTTGCCAGAAGAGGTCGACCTCCTACTAAAAACATCAATCGAGCAGTTGGAAGGCCTGAACAAGTTTCTGATTTCTCTTCCAATGAAACCTTTGCAAGTGTTGGAGATGGCCCTCACCTGTCTAACCTTGCCAACAATTTATCAAGAAAAGGATCAGCGCCAGAAAGGCCTGGCCTCAGTTCTGTATCTGCAAGATCTCCTTATAATCTACGTCAAACTGAGCCATTTCGATGGGCAGGTTTGCGCAAATCGGAGTCAAATGAAGAATATTCAGGTCAGGGTCCTGCGTCAGTTAGTAAACTGCTCCCTTAGATGAGATTCCAGCATCTGTTCAAAAATTGGTTTCTCTTGTATGCAGGCTATGGACCAAAAGGGAGTTCCACAAAATATGGGAAGATGTCTGTTGTAGATGAAAACCGGAGAAATACATATAATCAACCCCATCCATCAGCCTTTGAAGAACCATCAATATTAACTGCTTTTGATGGAGAGAGGAAGCAACTGAAGCCGGTAAGCAACATTTTATGGTACCATTTAAGATACTTGAATCCTTTGCAGTTGGCATTCAGATTAACTTCTCTGCTGTACCGTGCTTTACCATTATCGGTTTTGCTGAAAACTCTTTTTCATTACACTAGACTTAAAGCTTCAGTTATATTATCTAGTTTATGATAAATCCTGAAAACATAGTGTCCTTCACAATCATGTTATCTCCATATACATAAGCCTATAAAGCATATTTTTAGTGTCCCCTATTCTTCTTTTGTCTCTTTTCATTTTGGTTGGTTTATATTTCTCTAACTGTAAAATTTTACTTGGCCTTATCTAATCTCAAAGGTTCAATTCTTAACTGACATTGTTTGCAAACAGAATGGTCTTCATATTCAGCATTCTTATGCCAGAAGTTTGGCTCACTTTGCTGCAAATCTTGGACCCATTGGCTGGGCTATAGCAGCCAAAAAGATAGAAAGGGTACTTCCACCCGGTACCAAATTTGGCCCTGGGTGGATTGAAGAGAGTGAAGCTCCAAAATCGCAACAACCCCAGCCAACTTTGATGCCTGCATCTCCACCATTTGCTTCCTCTTCTTCACCTAATGTTTCTACTTGCCCCCTTTTATCTAGGAGCAATGAAGTCGTTCAGGAGGTGCGATTGCCTTCTAATGATTTGGCCACAGAAGTAAACCATTTGCGAAGAACTCAGCCACTTGCCTCTACATCCATGGCCTCGAATAGATCTGAGACTGTGGTGGTTGATTTCAAAGCTCCTGAAAGTTCAAATCATGAAGGTGATAATAATAATACTGCGTCCAAGAACCCCTTTCCCCTTAATCAAAATTTGAGGATGCAATCCAATTTTAATGGATGTAACATTTTTGGGTTTAATGTCCCTTCCAAAGTTGGGTCGATGGTGATACCAACTAGGCCTTCAACGCTATTTTCTTCAGATGCACAGACGACTCGTTCCCGAGCACTTGATATGGTTTCTAGAAACAACACTGTCAGCAACAACAGTTTTCAGCATCAACCTCACATGAGAAGTTTAGATGCAGAGAGAGCAAAATTAGTTGGGAGTTCAGGCCATAATCAAATGGAGCAGGATTTTGTTCCTCCTGATCTTAATGTGATGGTTGACACCCAGCAACCTGATTTGGCCTTGCCAAGGTGGATGAAGAATATTGTTGCTAAGGGGACGTAATTGATCTTTTTCCAGTACCAGAGTTATGGTGTAAAAGCTTAGGGCGGTCGACTGTACAGATTAATTAATGTAGTAGAAAATCATAGTTTTTCAGATTAATCTCATTCGTAACATTCGGATGCCTGACTTGGTGGAGGAAGGATTCTGGCTTCTGATATTCAACCAATTTTCCTCCATGCTTGGAATACGCACAAAGCTGAAGTCCGAAAGCAAGGGTGTACCTAGAATTATATCTGACTAATTAATTGACTGTTCTTTTGCCATCCTTGCTTGACTTCGTCATTCAAACTGAGTTGCTTCAGTATCATCCAGAGCAAAGAACATCCTTATAGAAGAAGAGCAATGACAGGTTTGCTCAAAATTTTTGAGCCCAGACTGACTTTTCCTCATAACAAATTTATATGATATTTTCATCATCTTCAAATTTTTTGTATACGTCTGATTTTGATGTACATTTAACTAGGGTGTGTTTGGCGGCTCTTTTAAACTGGGGAAGCCTCATCATGGACCAGTTTAGTTGCGTACCATCTCCCCCCAGTCTGTGACTAAATTTGCTTATTGGGCAAAAATTGAACTAAAGCAGATAATGATCATTTATGGCTCAGTTATTGCGTAACAAAGAGAACTCCTTAAGCAGGCTATGATCAAACCTAACCGAGTTTTAAAAGAGTTGTCAAACGCATTTTATGGAAGTGTCTGTTTTATTCAGTGATTTTAACTTTCAGTTCAGTCTGATGTTAATGCTCAAAATGTTGCTGTCGGAAATTGCTACTAGCGGTCCTTATCAGGCTGACTCGCTGGTTATATTTGCCCATGGAGTGCTGCATTCCAGGCTCTGTAAAAGTAAGTAATAGGACCATCATTAGTTGAAGTAAACTAATAAACAAGGATACCATAAAAAAAACCAACATGCTTGTACCACAACTATCAGCAAGGAAAACATATAAAAGATGAAGAAAAGGTTTTTTTTTTTTTATTAAGTAAGAATAGGGCAAGTTGCCCTATCAAAAAGTAAGTAATAGGACCATCATTAGTTGAAGTAAACTAATAAACAAGGATACCATAAAAAAAACCAACATGCTTGTACCACAACTATCAGCAAGGAAAACATATAAAAGATGAAGAAAAGGTTTTTTTTTTTTTATTAAGTAAGAATAGGGCAAGTTGCCCTATCA